GTCCAAGGTAGACTTCCTGTCCCACGAAGTCTCGGCAGAAGGTATCCGACCGGACGCTAAGAAGCTGGCTGGGGTGGCCGAGCTTCCGTTCCCGTCAACGAGGAAAGGAATGGAGCCCTTCCTTGGAGCACTCAACTATTACAGTCGCTTCATCCAAGACTTCGCGGCCTATTGGGCCACCCCCTACCAGCTTAAGGACGAGGACTTCCAGCCCGGGGGTGACCTCACCGCGGCCAAGCACAGCTTCGCGATGCTCCAAGAGAAGGTTTCGGCAGTACGGATACTACGACACTTCGACCGGAAGAAGGAGGTGCATGTCATGTTGTTCGCCAACGAGCGGGCTCTAAGTTCCACGTTGATGCAAGAGCACGAGGGCAAACTACACCCCGTTCGCTTCTGCGGACGTGTTTTGAAGGATGCTGAGATGAATTATCACCCGGCCGAGAAAGAGGTCCTCGCGCTTCTGCTGATACTGAAGGTGTGTTATACTCAACTCGTTGGACAGCGAATCCGGGTCTACACTCAGTTTTCGACACTCGACTGGGTCCACAAGTCCAAGAAATTGTTCGGTTGGGCTACCCAGTTCGCCGTCTTGCTGTCGCCGTGGCACCTGTTGGTCGAACGAGTCAAAGAAACCGACTGTTCGTTTGCTCAGCTACTTCAACCCGGCTTGACGAACTTCGTTGACTTGGATAAGTCACTGGCGTTGGTCACACCCCGGACACGAGGGTCACCAACTGCTCGTTTGGACCCGCATCTGCTCTACGCACGCCTACCGCGGTCCTACCGAGGCTTCGTTATGTCGTTTGACGGGTCTGCGAAGACCGAGAAGAACGGTGGATACGGCAGTTGCTCGTGGATACTATGGAAGCTACCAGAGTGGACAGTAGTGCTTGCTGCGAGCGCTTACCTCGAGAACACCACGGTCAACCTCGCTGAGTACACCGGGATGAACAACGGCGTCTCTGCTGCATTACAGCATGGAGCCGACGATCTAGTTGTCGTTGGCGACTCGAGGCTCGCGATCCAGCAAGCCCTAGGGTGATAGCCTGTCGGAAGGAGTCATTGCTGCAACAACTCAGCCACCACCAAGAACTCACGGCCAAGCTTCGGTCGGTGAAGTACCTGCATGTGGTGAGAGAGTTTAACGCTGCGGCCGACCCTCTGGCAAGCGAGACTCTCGAGTGCAAGGAATCTACGGTGGTATCGTCGGACGACCGAGTATTAGAGCTGATGAAGCTGAACCGTATCGCTGAAGTCATCTACGAGGCTGCTGACGGGTGCGTCGTCGAGGACATACCCTCGGCCAACACAGTATGGGCCGTGGTAGCTTCTGCCAAACCTCATAGCAAGAATTTTTTCGATTTTGTGCGAAGAGAAACCGACCGCAGACGGCAGAACGAGACTGAACCCGGACACGTAGCTGTTATGACCAGACGTCAAACGAGAGCAAAGGAGAAACACGTCCGGTTTGCAGATGAAGTCTCGGTCACTGATCAGGGAGACGCATCTCACCGAGTAGAAGCCAATGGTGTGCCGAACGATTCTCAGAATGAAGCAGAAGCTTCACCGCTGCGTGCCGAGACGTCACCAGCCCCACCGAACGCAGAAGACATTGACCCGCTGGTAGTACAGGAAGAACGCCAAAGGAGAATCGCCTCCGCTCAAGATGAAGAGTTACGGTGGTCGAATCTGAAGGCAGTGCTCCGGAGATGATGCGAAGATTGGATACAGAGCAGCACGGGATGCATGGAAAATGGCGGACCAATTTGTGTTGAGCGAGGAGGATGTGCTATATTACACAAGAACGAGCCGTCGTTCAAGTGACGGCGAGCAAGCCGAGTTGAAGATGAGACTCGTGGTGCCCACAACGATGATCCAAGAGGTCCTGCAAAGCTGCCATGACTCACTTGAAGGCGGTCATCAAGGTATTACCCGTACGCTACATCGAGCGGCGAGAGACTATTACTGGATCGGCCAGTATGCCGATGTGGAGAAACACGTTAAGTCGTGCCCTGACTGCAGTTCAAGTAAGAGCCGACCTCAGTTCCGCGGGTACTCGCCAGGGAACATCCTAGCCGAGAGACCCTTCCAACTAGTCTCTATGGACTTCGTGATACCGCTACCGAAGAGTCGCCGTGGCAACACGGCTCTTCTGCTATTCCAATGCTCGTTCACGGGATTCGCGATGGGCAAAGCCATGTCTGACACTACCGCCTTACTCGTTGCGCAAGCTTTCGAGGAGTGTGTCTACCGACGTTTTGGAGCACCGTCATTGATCCGTCATGACCGAGATCCTCGATTTATGAGCGAGGTCTTCCACGCCTTCGCGGAAATGATGCAGTCTCGGTCGAGAGCGACCCTGAGCTACCGCCCGCAGGCCAACGGCCAGCAGGAGAGATCGGTGAAGACGATCATGCAGTCAGTCCGCGTATACGCTGAAGACCCACTACAGCAGGATTGGGACGAGATCGCCGAAAGACTGATCTTCGCCATCAACAGCTCCCGTGATACGACGAGGAAGGAAACTCCGTTTTACCTCGTTCATGGGTGGGATGCACAGTCAACGCTCAAGGCAATGTCCTCGTCACTCAAACGAGGCTTCGGTAGCCAAACTGACGCGCTAGCATGGCGCCGAGAGGTCAACCGACAGCAGGAAATCGCCCTGAGGATGGCCAAGGAGTACCAAGCCGCGGAAAAGGCTCGGAGAGCTGAAGAGCACAATGCGTCGCTTGGCAGGAAGGAGAAGGAAGCCATGGCAGGCGTCAACGAGAATAGAACCTCGGTCGACGGGGCACCGAGTTCCCCTGACCATAGTAGAGCTGCAGTGACAAGAACGAGGTTTTCTTTGCAGCCCGGGAGCAGAGTGTGGCTGTACATGGAGCGGGTTCGACCAGGACTGACCAAGAAACTAGCACATCGGTGGCACGGATCGTTCCGCGTGAAGAAGAAGGTCGACGAATTTGCGTGTGAGATGGAATTACCCGACCGAAGTGGATACCGGTTCTACCCGGTGGTGAATGTTTCACGACTCAAGTCAGTGGACGAGTTCGAAGGCCGACCGAGGGTTCGTTTGGCTCGCGAGGTCACCGAAGACACTCGTCTTGACTTCGACGAGGAATTACTGCCTGAAGACAGTTTTGAGCCGGACCGCCTGGACGGTGAGTATGAAGTCGAGACTATCCTCGATGACCGGACACCGTTGTCAACGAGCACTCACCGGGCCGTCCGAGAGTTCAAGGTGAAGTGGGTCGGCTATGACGAGCCGACATGGGAACCAGCGTCCAATCTCGTGCGGTGGCCTCCTGTACGATTACCTACGCCGGAAGCGAAGCGACCGACGTTTGCAATTGGTCCAGGTGGCCGACGAGGAGTAATTCTGCGCCCCAACGAGGATTGAACTGCTCGCGGGGGCGATCCAGCCCGCGATGTCAGGCGAACGAGGCTACTGGAGATGATGATTGAACTGCCTGCGAGGGCTATCCAGCTCGCAGTGACAGACGAAGAAAGTTACTGGAATCTGCACGTTACGTGTTAAGTGAACGAGTCCGGCCACCCATGGAGCGACCACCATCGAAGTCCGCAGAGAAGGCTCGACCACGACCGACGACGTCACGGTTTCCCGAGTCGATCCGTTGGGGACAAACAACGGGACGTCGTTGCAAGGGGCAAAAGCCGTGTTGTAGGGGTGGTCTGCCGGCGCTTGGAACCAATAGTTACGCCACGGCTCGCGGGCACCCACGTCCGCCACCTCGGAGGCCCAGTCGTAGTAGTGGGGACCCACTCCATCACCTCGAACGAGTATTGCAGGTACGACGGCTCCAGCAAAACCTCGGTGCGGTGCTGTGGAGGTTGTCCGTCGTACGTAATGGCCCCATTCCACACCTTGTGGAGCATCTGGTCTCGCAAGCGATCTGCACGATCACTGCGCTCTCGGTGGTACTTGGACCACGCTTGCCGAAGCGCTAGGACTTGCACGTTGCGCTGACCGAGGGTGCTGGCGAGGTTGTCGATATACGCCTTGACAGCTTTACCCCTAATCCAGTAGCGACGCTCCCACAAGGCGAAACCAAGGTCGCCCCTCTCTGTGGAGTGGTAGGAGTACCCCTGGAACTGCCGCCATAGGCGAACGAGAAGAGCCCGACCAGTTGCACGACGGGATATAGCCACCGAGGATGGAAAACCCGTCGTATCGATCAAACAAGGCTCGTCTGGGAAAAGCTGGCGCAACACTTGGAAGGGGTGAGCAGGATCCGTCCACAAGCCAAACTCCACGATTCCATCCACTGAACTGGGGGCGACCAAGTCGTCCTCGAAGACGAGGGGGACACTGGCGTTTTGGATGAAATGCCAGCATTCCGAAGCTCCGGGTGCCGTGAAACCCGGCTCCAAGAACAGGGTAGCAAGACCACTGAGCTTACGCGATCCAGGAGCTACGTCGGAAGCGTCAACCACTGCTGGGGCAATCGACGCAGGTCCAGCCCTCGGTGAAGCTGTCACCGTTGCTGTTACCATCGCCCGAGCGTGAACAGAGGTCGAACGAGTGTGGAGTCGACTCGGGAGTGGCACGGTGGCCGCTTGTGAAGCTACAGGAGCCCCGGTCGCGGCAGCCAGAGGAGAAGGAGCCTCCGAAGGAGCGACAGGTTGCGCCACCGAGGTTTCCTCTCTTTCGTCGGGGCCGAACATCTCCAGGATCAACGCTGCGCGGTCCTTGGAAGTCTCGGACTTATGAGGCGACTCGCCGCTAGGTGAACGGTCTGGCGGGCCGCCAGAGTCCTCGGTGACCCCAGCAGCCGATTCTCGAGGGGCACGGCCGACGCCGGCTGTACCAGACGAGACTGGCGAAGGAATGGAAGTCGCCGCCGAAGGCGAAACCTCGGATGGAACCTCGATGACAGTACCGGAAGGCTCGGTAGCAGAACCTTGAACACCCTGAGCGCTGGCCGACACCCCCGGAATCTCGCCGGGCTCAAGGTCATCTTGTGAAGTGTCGCTAGGACTCATACCCCCTCCAAACTCCACGTCAGACGATTCCTGCTGCTGGGCTGGGGCTGGCGAGGGAGGCGAGGCGCGACGGGCCAGCCGAGGATACAAGGGGACGTCTGAGTGTTCGTAGCCTCCAACCAGCTTGAGCGAGCCGTCGTTGGACGCACCATCGACCGAGGAGGCGGGGAAATCTCTCCTGATGCCGAACGATGACTAGATGGCGCGGCGGCCGCTGCAGCCCTGGCCCTCAGGTCGACTGACGGTCTGCCGAAGCGTTTGTGAGGAGGAGGCTGGGATGCCGTATTCCCGACGGAAGCAGACTCGGTTTGCCGACCCCGCTTGCGCGATGACGACTCAGTGGAGACCGGGGAACCAGCAGAAGCGCTCACCGAAGCAGCGGGAGCGGACGTAGCCTCGGTGGACTCAGCCATCGGCACGTCGGTCGTCTTGGACTCCTCTCCCTCCTCTGACGAGGATTCGTCATGGCGTGGACTCTCGACAGTGACCGTCGGTGGGGACAGCCCGAGAAGATTCCAATCAATCTCTGCGGCGGAGATGCCGGCTGAGGCCAGGGCCAAGGTGTCGACGTCGAGTCCGTGTGCTGCCGAGTGCCGACGAAGGATAGAATTCGCTCGCCACAAGCTGTTGTTCTCGTCCGTCAACGCTTGAATGCGTGCGGGGATGACGTTTGCTCGGTCGCGGTCGGCCAACTGCTTCCGAAGCCTCTCCAACTGAGTGTTGTAGGTGACGAGGCTTGCACTTATACGCTCGTGGAGCTGGGTGTTCCGACGTACAGCAGCGGCCGAATCGGCCTCAGCAACGAGCGTCCGCTTCTCCAACGACTGAGTGACGCCAGCGTGGTGAGCGATGGCCGCGTTCGCTTGCATCAACTGAGCGCTAGCGTTGCTGAGCTGGACGCGCATGTCCTGGACGAGGTCCAGAGCTTGGTCGCACTCGGAGTTGGCCGAGACGAGGAAGTAGTCCGACTTGGTCCGCAGGTTCATCGCTTCAGCGAGTTTATCATTGGCGTCGGAGAGCTCTGCCTGCAGCCGGTCGTTCTCGCGGCGGAGGGCTACCAGTTCATCAGCCTCCGCAAGAGGGAGACGCGGAGGAGCAACGGCGGCAGCCAGCACCTCACCGACGTTAGTAGCAGCTTGCAGGCTGCGGTCGAGAGCAGCGTTGACTCGAGCTGGAGGTGAACGGGCAACACCCACGACGAGACGAGCGAGTTCCAGCATCTGCTGCTCGCCCAAGACGACCGCTGTCGGAGGAACCTCGGCCGGGCCAGCACCAGCTCCGGCGCGACAGCTGCCTCGCCCCCCCCACCGACGCCCCGCGAGTTGCCAACGTGACCGAAGGCGCGGGAGTTGGCGACGGTGGAGCGCTGGCGCTTGGCGGCGGTGTCGGCGGCGAGTCGGGAGCCTCTTCACTGGGAACTGCCGGCGAGGGAGTCTCGGTCGCCCCACCAGCAGACTCAGGACTACTTGGAGGAGCCGGTGGAGGGTCGACCGAGGTCCCGGAGGCGGCAGGAATGAGCGTAGGGTCACATGCAGGCGCGGCCGGGGCTGGGGGCACACGATAGGGGCGGGGGCACCCGCCGAACGAGCCTGGCGCGCCGGACGACGACCCGAAGTGTCGGTGGCGACATCAACAGCTCCCTGAGATGATCAAGAAAGAGATGGAGTCAACAACGAGGATCCGAATGACAGTCAGGAGCAGCAGGAGCGACGAACGTACCGGTCCGGAGCACTGGAGAGCCCGAAGAGCAGCGGCAGCCACGTCGGCAAATGCACGCGACGGAGGAGCCATGGAGTCGAAGAACTGAGGACGCCTAGACGCTCACCAGCGTGGGAGGCTCGCGTCGTGGCGGCGGCAGTTGTGGTATTGGAAAGTGGCAGTTTCCAACGCTATTGACCCGCCAGCCCGACAATCAAGTTCAATCAAGGGGCGATCAAGGCGAGGTCAAGCGAGAGACGGAGATGGCTGCTTCTGATTGGATGATGACATTATCCTCGGTAGAGTGACAGGCAGTGGCCGAAGCCTCGTCGGGTCCTAATAGAACCCCGAACGAGGCTTCATGGTACCCACTTTTAGGTACAGATGCATTTAGTTACGTACTTCGGCCGCACTTATTAGCGTAGCCGCGGTCGTCATTTGATGTGTCCGAAATCGCCTTATTGCGATCGTTCACACTAGATATTTGTATAGGGACATAGGACTCATCATAGGATGGCCAGAACGAGGCCCCCAGGGCCTCAGAAAACTCAGTAATAAAAAGACAGTCTTCCCCCAAAGCCAACAAGGGTCAAGTCCGACTTCGGTAAGTGTAGCTAGCTTATTGTAGTGCCTGGACACGCTCGGCTGCGTGTGGATGCCTGTCGGGGAGCTTATCGTGCATTGACCGAGAGTTTCCTTGGCAGCGCCAAGAGTTGGCGTGGCCGGAGAGGCAGGAACGGTATTAGAGTATCGTTCGGTATATATTTGTGGGATTGGAGTATCCCTGAGTGTATTAGTCTACCTACCGAGGTTTTACCTTGGTCCCCCTGTATAAGGCCTAACACGCCGGTACCCTTCCTTTTTGAAGGACTGCAGTGGGGTTGCGCGAAAGCGCTACATAGTATCCTAGCCTTAGCTCGTGGCTAGTGGTACAGGTTTTTGGGTTGACCGAAGATAACCTAAGGTGCACAGAGGCGCTTGCAACCGACCCGGTGTAAGGGATCGTTCCTGGTCTTCAGGTTTTGATCCAATAAGCGCTTACCTTTGCGGGTTAGCGTGTTGTTGGTGTCTCTAATACCTTTTGGTAGAGGAGGATTTTATTGAATTACCACACCACAACAAGGTGAAAGCTTCGGCGGTCTTACCTTGAGCGTGTAACGTGGTGAGAGCAGTGGCAGCGGGCGCGGGAAGTGTCTTGATCGACTTGATGCAATGGCTGGCTGCTATTAAAGTGACAACATTACTCGACAAATCGCCAAGGCATCATTGGTCCTCGATTTTCGTACTTTTCAGAGTTTCCTCGATGAGCAGACGTCGTTTCCTCGATAAAAAGCTACACCCCTAACCAGATAGGGAACACATGGTCAGTTAGAGGGGTTCATTTAGGGAGGTGTCACTGTACTACCTTCGGTCCGAAAAACAAATATACATTGACCAAATTGAACTATTAGTGACAGACCAATCAGATTGAAGGTAATATTTAGGCTTAATATTACCGCTACCAAACCGACGTTTTAGGCTAAATCATCGAAAGCCGCAACCGCCTCAGCCGAATACGGCAAACAGCGAGGCAGGCTACCATTCCTGGTCAGGGCATCTTTTCTCAGGTGTGGGATGTTGTAGCTGTTGCCACCACCAGCCAGCATAGATGCCTCAAGTACGCTTTGCAGCGTAAGGAAGCACTTGTTGGTGGTGGCACTTGACATCTCCTCAAACGCGGCATTCACGGCCGCGATGAGCCCGTCGACGTCACCCGTCTGCTTTCTGTACTGCAGCGACTGCAGCGAGCATAACCAGCTCAAGTCGAGCACGATGAAGTCAGGGCTTCGCGGCGGCTGGTTGGCGAACTTAATCGACCAGCCCCCCGATGCAGCTGCTGCTTTCACTGCAGTCCGCTCGGAGGCGCGGTGAGGCGGGGCGTTGTCCTGCTGTACGATCACCTCTTCCTTACCTATATATAAAAATAGTCGTAATAAAAATAGTCAGCATAAAACATAATAAAACACGTTGCAAAACAATTACCTGGCCAAACTCGCTTGATCGCGGGGATTACGTGCTGTGTCAGCATGCGCTCGTAGACGTCCTTCGTCATCTCGACTGGGGTCGTGACCGGAGTACCCTTCGGGCGGTTCGTGCTGCTGCGGACGGCCAGCTTGGTCTCCACCACGGGCCACAGTCCCACCTTTCCGTCAAAGGTCATGCGCTGGTACTCGTCATACCGTGGCCGCGCGACCGCCACCAAAACCATTACCTTTGTTCGGTGGTTCTTGTTCTTGGTGACGGCGCGCGGCGCAGGCTCGTCGCTAGTAAGGTAGTGTTGCGGTTCCGGTGGACGTAGAACCACCTTTCGTCAACATGCACCACATTCTGCATGCCATCGAATTGGTATCCGCGATCACCTAAATGACAGACATTACATTACATATCGTCAGGCATTGCATATATTACTCGTAACAGATAACTAGACAGTCAAAACTCTTACCATGAATCTTCGTCACAAAAGTCCGTGCAAACTGACGGCGCTGCGCCATGTGCTCCGGCGTGAGCAGCGGCTTCGGCACAACCGTGACTCGCCTGACCACGCTTCGCTCCTGCAAGCGCCGGAAGAGCTGGGTCCGCGGGATACCTGTGGCGGCGGCGAGACCACGCAGCGTGGTCCGACTATCCACTGAAGCCGACGTGTGGTGAAGCACCGAACAAGAATTTCCAACTGCGATGACATCAAGCGACATGGTGGCAGAACGATAGGCAGGGATCAGGCTGCGGTCGCGGATCAAGAGGGTCTATCGAGAGATCTCAAGCGATTGGATAACGTCGACGCGTAAGGCAACACATATGTCAAGACAGATTACGGGCGATCGCGCTTGGACTGCGGCGTGATTCGACGTAGACCCAAGCCCGGATCGACGACCAATCTCGCAGATCTAGGGCGGCCGAGGACAGAAGAGGACGGATCGGCAGCGCACGGCAACTCGCACAGGTCATCGATCGGGAGTTGATCGCCGATCGCCGATCGGGATCGATCGTGGATCAGGAGGCGATCGTGGATCGGGGTCGATCGTGGATTGGGAGCCGATCGTGGATCGCCGATCGACCCGGATGGGAAGCACATGGGGGCGAAGCCAGGGCAAGAATCCAGTAATCGTTTGGTTGTAGGATGGTAGGTGAGATGGCAGCGGTAGAGAGAGATCAGCTAAACATAAATCAGAACGCAATTTGCACAGAAGACCACAAGTGCTCTCAAGTCGTCAAGTCCCAAGAGCTACATTGGCCTCGGCAAGCGTTGACACTTCGGGTAGTGAACTAGCGGAACGGTTAAGACTGGATTAATACATTGGCCAGCTTGACCTACTCTAGTGATCTTTCTCTCGTGTGCAAGTCCTCGATCGACCGGATACTGCTTGGCCGGCGATCGCTGCGTCTCTCAATCGACCTCGATCCCGCTATAGGAAGCGGCAAGCAACTCAGGAAAGGAAGGAACACACCCGGAAAGGCAACTACAGGCCTTGGATCTACTCCAGGCCGACCGATCGAAGCGAAGAACCCTCGATCGGAGCGTATACTCGGACGCAGAGCGAAGACTAGCGCGCTGCTCCACAAACTATCCCCGCGACACGCCAAGACACTCGATCTTCACCAAGTGCTGCATCTTCGGAGCCCTGAGAGAGCAGATCCAGCCCGCCGACGGGTACACAAGGTGAGAACAAGTTCAGCCGATCACGGATCGTTGGGGGACCCCCTCCGTTAGTCGGTGTCTGGGCGCTGGTGGGAAGCTCGATCAGGCCTTAACCAGATTTTGGCCGATCCCGCTACACAACAATGGTGCGCGTGCCCGGATTCGAACCAGGGATTTCACCGTGAGTCCGTAGAAGATGCGCGAGTGAAGAAAGAACCAGGGGAAGAGGCGTCGTCGGATATCGGATCGACGAAGACGCTGCTGAACAAAACGAGATCCGCGGATCGACAGAGTGCTCGGAGGACTTCTGTCGACGGAATCGAGGGCGATCTGGAGACAGATCTAGAAGACAAACCTCAACATCCTCCCCAGGTCCCTTCGGGGACCCCGGTGGATCTTGGTGCGAACCGAGATTCACTAACAAAACACACTAAGGCGGGATCGGACCGATACGCGTTCGCTGACTCGCCGATCAGGCTCGATCCGAGCTACCTGGACGCGATCGCGGACAAGACCCAGATCGTGAGAAAGAAGCTGAGAGCGCCAGGCTTGGACGACGAAGATCCCAGACCGTCGGCGCTCGACTGGTCTGAGGCTGACCTGGATCGCCAGTATTACTTGAAGGAACTGCGAGATTTCTTGCGTCAAGATCCTGTCATGGTGATCGTGCGGCCAGAGCAGATCGACGACCCGAAGGGTCCGATTTCGGCCCCCCCCGAGTGACGGATAACAAGCTGATGGCGGTGAAGAACCTACTCGGGCTGTTGAAGGAAGCCGGCTTCATGGCTGGCGCCTTTGAAGCGAACGATCATTTCGATCAAGATCTCGATGTGATCCAGACAGCGATCCAGACATTGGTCGACAAGTTGAGACCTTTGGTCGACATGATCGCGGACAGTCCGGACCCGAAGGTGCCAGATCCAGTGTCGCCGGCTCCAGTGTCATCGCAGCGAGTGGAGTCCACTGGGTACCGATCGTCGTCACCTTATGTCTCCGCAGCGGAATATGTATCGGATACGTCGTCTGAACCCCAACGGATGACCCTCGGCCCTTCAGGATCTGCGATGTTGGACGCGCGATCACGGAGTCAACTTCAGGAACGCATGCGGTCAGGACCTCGGAAGCAGAAACCCAAGTCGACCGATCGGACCACCAGTGCCACCGGATCAGATGAGTCGAATGGCAGACTGGAGTCTTACTTCCAGGCTGCGATGACTCGATTTCTGAAGGAACAACAGGCCACGGTGGTAACACCTACTCCAGTGGTCGACGACAACGTTGGATCGCGGGACGTGGAGATGGAATCAGCCGGATCGCCGGATCAAGATCTCTCTCAGTGGGAATACGATCCGGACGACATTGATCTACCGCATTCGGCCCCTGCTGTGGTGGCCACCGCTGCCTCGGGATCCACTGGGTCCTCCTTGATCCAGCGCGTGCGAATCTCGGCGATGTCCGATCTCAAGGAGTTCAGTGGCAAGGATCAGGACGAAGATCGCGCCCGTTCGTGGGTCAGCAAGGTGAAATCGGAGTTCCTGCGAGATCAGGCTACGGACGAAGAGAAGTGCCTGACCTTCGCTGATCTACTGACGGGCCCGGCGAAGAACTGGTACCGCCAGCTGGGCCGATCGACGCGGAACAAGTGGAGCGATCTACTCCGGAGTTTCCAGATCCAGTATTGTGGCCTGGGAGTATCGGTCGCTTGGCAGTATTATCATTCTCGCAAGAGATCGGATGAATCGCCGTTGGAGTACCTCTATCGACTGAATGTGGCGGCTCTATGTGCAAGATTGAAGATCAAGGACGGGGATTCCAAGGCCCGCCGAGAACATGTCGAACACTTTATCGAGACACGGGGCGATCCGGAACTGGCCGATCAGCTCACCTTACTCCGGCTTGCGGACGCGGAAGATCTTGAGGAAGTCCTGCGCGCTCGAGAGCGCGCGAAGAGCAGACAGAAGCGATCTGCCTTTGGATCGAAGTATCGTCAGAAGGTTCCGACCTCCGCACCAGCTGCTGCAACCAAGCGGGCAGTGCGTGCAGTGCAGATCGCGAGCCAGGAGTCTGGATCGGACACGGGATCAGACGGATCGGACTCGGAGGGTGATCTACGTCGCGTTTACCTAGCGTCGGCCGAGGACAAGTCTCGCAAAGCTGGGGGCGACGCGACGAAGCCGGATCGAAGCAACCAGGCGCAGATCAACCATGACCCACCTCGATCGGATCCACGATCGCGATCTTCACCTGACGGATCGGAGCGTGATGGAAGGTATGGATCTTGGACACGAAGCTCGGACGAAGCGGAGGGAGGGACGTCGCAGACGGCGGGACCGGAGCGAAGGCACTTGAGGGGTAGAATGAAGATTCGAAAGGTGATTGAATTGTTGGAGCTTACACCCTACTGTTATAGACACGCGACCCTGCGTCCTATCACCTAGTGCATCTAATCAACCATCACTCACCGGTGTTCATCCAATCATCCTACTCGTCTAATCATCGGTGGCGTAAACAACTTACCGTAATCACCATAATCAACGTGGGTTCGGATTGGACCGGTTCGGGTTAACCGGTTAATGGGTACAACTGGTACACAGTACCCAAGACCAGCAACCCTCAATACGCCCCCTCAATGCGAAGTCCCACGAATGCCGAGAGCCACCGTCAGATCCGTGTGGCGTGGTCCCGCAAGCGCCTTCGTCATGATGTCCGCTAGCATCACAGAAGTCTCGCAGTACTGGAGCTTGACTTCGACGCGCTTGACTTCATCGCGGATGTGGTGGTACTTGATGTCGATGTGCTTGGCGCGACCGTGGTTCACTGGGTTCTTCGTCATCTTGATGCACGACTGGTTGTCTTCGCGGATCATGAGTTCGGGTCCAGTCTCATTAGCGGCCGCCAGAATCTCGCATAGCAGGCGATAAATCCACTTACCTTCTTGGATAGCCAGACTGAGCGCGATGTACTCCGCTTCGCTCGTGGACAGCGACACACTTGATTGCTTCTTGCTTCCCCAGCTCACAGGCGCACTCATGAGCATGAACGTGTAGCCTGAAGTGGACTTGCGGTCGGCGAGGTCGCCGGCCCAGTCCGCGTCCGAGTAGCCACGAAAGTCGATCTTGTCGCCCGGCTTGAAGCAGATCCCATGCGTCTTGGTGCCTTGCAGGTAGCGAAAGATACGCTTGACCGCAACCCAGTGTTCCTCTTGGGGGTTCTCCATGAAGCGCGATACATAGCCAACGGCGTACGCGATGTCTGGGCGCGTGGCGGTCATCAGGTGCATCAGAGCACCAACAGCTTCGCGAAACGGAGCGTTCACCTTGGTCGCCGCGTCGCTTGGAACCAGTCGAGTGCTCATGTCCACCGGACTCACCACGGCCTTGCACTCGTCCATGGCGAAGCGCTTCAGGATGTCGTCCACGTATCGCCGCTGGCACATGGTCACGCTGCCGTCCGGGCCGTCCACCAACTCGATCCCAAGAACAAACGCGCACTTGCCGCTGTCGGTCATCTCGAAGCGCGTCTTCAGGTCGGTCTTCGTGCGTGCGATCAGCTCGGGCGAACTCCCGGTAATCAGTACGTCATCCACGTACACCAGTACAAGCACGCAGTGACCGTCCACCACCTTGATGTAGAGGCACGGATCGAAGGCCGACACTTGGAAGCCGATGGAGCACACGAACTCGTCGAAGGTCTCGTTCCACACTCGCGAAGCTTGCTTGAGACCGTAGATGGCCTTCACCAGTTCCAGGCAGTCGAAGTCACCATCCAGTTCGACGCCTTCCGGAACCACGCAGAAGACCACCTCCTTCATTATCCCGTACAGGAATGCTGTCACCACGTCGAGTTGGTCGAGGGGCCAGCCAAAATACTTAGCAATCGCGATCACCATGCGCAGCGTCACATACTTGACCACGGGCGAGAAGGTCTCGGTGTAGTCAATGCCGTACTTCTGCTTGAAGCCCTTGGCCACGAGGCGCGCCTTGTACTTCTCGATCGAGCCGTCCGCTTTGCGCTTGATCTTGAACACCCACTTGGTATCGATGGCGCGTTGTCCGTTAGGCAACTTGGCAGCTCGAAACACACCACGCAGTCGCATCGACTTGAGCTCCGCGCGGATCGCTTTGCGCCAGTGCACTTGATCAGGACCGTTCACAGCCTCTTGGAACGTCGTCGGCTCCGATAGATCGGCTGCTGCTTCCACAGCGTTGGCACTGGCACGCCAAAACACTGGAGGCGTCGAGTCGTCGTCTTCATCTTGGTCCCCAGACTTTTCTTCTTCGTCGGGGTCGGCTCGGCGCGAGGAGGATACGTCCGGCGCACTTGCTTCTTCTAAGCCAGCTCGGTGGCGAACGGGGCGCGATCTTCTGGCAGTGTTGTCGTCGCCACTCGGTCGGTACTTGCGCTTCCCCGCCTGCTTGAAGCTCGTTTGGCGCGGTCCATCGTTGTCGTCCAGGTCCAGCGCGTCCAAGTCCAGCACAGCATCATCGACGTCTTCATCCGAAGTATGCGTCGAAAGTCCAAAGGTCGACTCATCGAAGTTGACATCGCGACTGATAACCACCTGTCCTGCCTCGATGTCATAAACTCGATACGCCTTGGACACTTCTTCGTAGCCGAGGAACAGCCCGGCGCGAGCCTTGGGGTCCCACTTGCGCCGTCTTTCCTTCGGCGTCAGGATGTACGTCTGGCATCCGAACACACGCATGTGCTTCACACTCGGCTTGGACTTGTAAACGATCTTGAACGGAGTCTTGTGTTCGATCTTGGGTGATGGCAGACGATTCTTCACGTAGATGGCTGTCATGGCCGCCTCAGCCCAGAAGCTCTTGTCCAGCTTGACATGATGCAGCATGCTGCGGCCAATCGTGACGATGGTCCGGATGGCGCGTTCTGCCGTGCGGTTGGTCTGGTGCGCGTACGGAACCGTGGTTTGCTGCTCGATGCCTTCGACTTCGTAGAAGGCCTTGAGCGAGTTGGTCGCGAACTCACGGGCTCCGTCGTGCCGCACAAACTTGACCTTCTTGCCGAACTGCGTCTGCACCTTCGTGACGTACATCTTGATGCAGTCCTCGCTCTCCGACTTGGCACGCAGGCAGAACCCCTTCATGCATCCGCTGGCTTCGTCCACGATCAGCAACAGATACTTGCTGCCACCCAGTGACTCTTCTTCCATGGGGCCGCACACGTCGAAGTGGAGCAGCTCGAACGTGTCGTAGTGACGCTTGTCACGGTTGCTTGGGAACGGCTTCTGGACCATTTTCCCTTGCTGGCAGCCGCGACACACGCTTGGTCCACTCGACTTGGAAGGTGCCTTGGCGTCCTTGATCATGTTGTTGTCGACCATCTTGCGAAGCACCTCCACCGGAGCGTGACCCATACGCGCGTGTAAGTCGACCGTCTTCCCACTGGTCGCCGCATTCGCCGATCGCTGAGGCGTCTGGAGCCAGTAGAGTCCATCCACGAGGTTTGCCGTCGCCACCACTTGCTTGGAGCCCTTGTGCGCAATCTGCATCTTGGTGCTGTCGAACACGACTTGGAACAGACCACTCTTGTTGATCTGTGGCACCGAAAGCAGATTCTTGCTCATGCTTGGGACGTACAGCGCGTTTTTGATCTCGATGTCGCGCTCGTCGCCGTTGGGCAGAACCACTCGTTCCACGATGGTCCCCACACCCATGATGGCCGCCTTGTTGCCGTCGGCCACCGAAAGTTCGCCTTCATTCCGCTCAATCAAATGAGCGAACTTGGCCTTGTCGTTGCAGATGTGGTGCGTTGCGCCGCTGTCGACCGCCCACAACCCGGACACATTCTTGCCCGTCGAAATGCCACACTCCAGTGAGACCGCGAACGCCACTCGATCATAGCCGTAGTCGTAGTTGTAGCTGGCGTCGTCGTTCCTCCACTGGGCATTGTTGGCCCCGCGTCCACGGCCATTGCCATTGCCGCCGCGTCTTGGGCCCCGATTCTCGTCCTTCTGCTTGGCCCAGCACTTGCCCCAATTTCCTGCAGTACGTACACTGGCGAGACTCTCGGTCGGTGTTGAACGCCTTGGCCGCATTCTCCGTCTTCACCGTCGCCGTCTTCTCGCCTTGTCTCTTGATGTGCTCATTCGTCAGCACCTTCACGACGTCTTGCGATCGTAGTTCAGCGCTGCTCATCTCCAAGTTCAGCACGACGTTCTCGTAGCTCTTGGGGAGGCTGCGCAACAGGCAGATCGCCACATCCTCATCCTCCATCTTGGCGCCGATGCTGCTGAGCTTGGCGCTGATGTTGAGGACCTCGTTGCAATGATGCAAGACGTTGCCGCCTTCCGACATCTCCATGCTGAAGAGTTGGCGCTTCAGGTAGATGCGTCCAGCCTTCTGCGAACCACCGTACAGCGTCTTCAGGCGCGTCCACGCAACCCACGCTTCCTCGCAGTCGTCGACCACATGGTGGTAGTCCGCGTCCATGTGGAGCAACATCAGTCCGAACGCGATGTTGCTCGACTTGACGTAGTCGTCCTTGGCCCGCGAGTCCGTGAAGCTCGGCGTCGTCTCGCGGTTCACGACATGCCACGTCGACTTGGTCAGGAACACGTCACGCATGTAGCGGTTCCACGTCGCGTAGTTGTCCCCGTTGAACTTGTCAATGGAGACCTTGGTCGAGGCGTCTTGGGCAGAGGACATGGTGTTTGGGCTCATAACCTGATGGAAGGTATGGATCTTGGACACGAAGCTCGGACGAAGCGGAGGGAGGGACGTCGCAGACGGCGGGACCGGAGCGAAGGCACTTGAGGGGTAGAATGAAGATTCGAAAGGTGATTGAATTGTTGGAGCTTACACCCTACTGTTATAGACACGCGACCCTGCGTCCTATCACCTAGTGCATCTAATCAACCATCACTCACCGGTGTTCATCCAATCATCCTACTCGTCTAATCATCGGTGGCGTAAACAACTTACCGTAATCACCATAATCAACGTGGGTTCGGATTGGACCGGTTCGGGTTAACCGGTTAATGGGTACAACTGGTACACAGTACCCAAGACCAGCAACCCTCAATAGAGCGATCAAGCCGCTGCTCACACTGTGGATCGCGGAAACACACCGATCTCGATTGTTGGAGACGTTTGACGTGCGAGAAGTGTCGCAAGAGAGGTCATCCGGCGGATCGCTGCCTGTTTGTGTGCCGTGGATGTGGTGAACTACACGAGATGGGCAAGTGTCCGATGGAGGAATTCTACAACCAGATCCGTCAATGGTTCAACCCGGTGAAGCACGCTGGCATGTTGCCCGCGATCGCCGAGAAGATGTTAAACTAGGACGCTCGCCGAGTTGGAATCCGGTACGAGCCGAGCGTTCTAGGTACTGCATCTATACATTCGTGAACAAGAACACGGTAGATCGAGTAAGTGGACGGACTGATCTACGCGGTAATACATGTCATCTGCATGCGAAATTTGCCGCCAAGGTCTTAAGTCTACATCGATCGGACGACCTCTGCCGTTCTGACGCCGAAGTGCCTTTGGATCTCCAGTCTGGAGAAACGCGGGGCTATTGAAAGCAACGCAGACCGGAAGAATGGTTCACGCCAGCTGATGGAGAAGTGACGACCGAGATCCCGGAGCATGATCGCGATCGAAGTCGGCCTCGCGTCAGCGAACACCGCAGATCTGGCGATGTGGTGCTCCTCCCTGGGGAGTCCAGAGGGTACTGGAAACATCATTCGCCAGGTAAGTGGTTCCGTCAGGCCAAGATCACTGGCAAGATCAACAATGAGAAGTCGATCTTACTCTTAGAAACCGGCGCCGAGGTGTCCATCGTGGACACCGCCTTTGCTCGTAAGGTGGGGTGCTATGTCGACACGAGTCAGAGCCAGGAATGTGTGGTGATTGGCGAAAGCGTGTACATGACGGAAGGAAGGACCAGGGTCAAGGTTACGCTGGCGGGATCGCTGGTGCATTTCTTCGATATCTGGGTTGGCGATCTATCAGGACAAGAGGCGATCCTGGGTATGGACTTTATGGTTCCAGCCGGGATCCGCCTCGATCTTGCGGACGGCTCTATCTGTCTCCCCGACGAAGTCAATATCCAGCTTAGCAGACGGCGTCAGCTGTACAACGACAATGTCAGACACGTGTGTATAGATCAGGGAATGCAGATCGCGATCGGGGATTCGATCGAGCTTCCGCTACGAATGAAGATGACGGATCGAGAAAAGCTGTGGGTCACCCGTGGAGATCGCTGGGTGCCGACCGTGGTCCGAGGACCCGGCCGGATCCGATATCTCCAGGTTACCAACATCAGCGACAAAGACCTCGTCTTGCATCGGAATGAACGGATCGCGATGTGGCTGGCTGGAGATCGGATACCCCGAATCCCAGGATATGTGTCGATCGGATCTCGTCGATACATGGAATGGCAGAATCTAGCCTTTCAAGCCACGACAGATGACCGGCCGACGAACCAAGAGGCACCAACGGGACCTCCAGTACCTGCCGTCGAGCGACCGAATTATCCAACGCCCCGAGCCATTCTTCAGAGACGCAAGGTATCCCCGATCATCGATCAGTCGACGAGTCCACCCGATCCAACAAGCGAACCGGAGGCAATGAGCCCTGATCCGGGGGCGACCGTCGTTGATACGCTTAGATCAGGAGGCAGACCGTTGCAGGACGATGATCGCGTGACAGAGGAGTCGAGGTCGTCAGCTTCAACTGTTCTCGTTGGAGATCCACCAGACCCACGGTCGGATCCGGTTGAGTCGGTGTGTGAACCTTCCGGATTGATGGAAGGTATGGATCTTGGACACGAAGCTCGGACGAAGCGGAGGGAGGGACGTCGCAGACGGCGGGACCGGAGCGAAGGCACTTGAGGGGTAGAATGACGATTCGAAAGTGATTGAATTGTTGGAGCTTACACCCTACTGTTATAGACACGCGACCCTGCGTCCTATCACCTAGTGCATCTAATCAACCATCACTCACCGGTGTTCATCCAATCATCCTACTCGTCTAATCATCGGTGGCGTAAACAACTTACCGTAATCACCATAATCAACGTGGGTTCGGATTGGACCGGTTCGGGTTAACCGGTTAATGGGTACAACTGGTACACAGTACCCAAGACCAGCAACCCTCAATAGAGCGATCAAGCCGCTGCTCACACTGTGGATCGCGGAAACACACCGATCTCGATTGTTGGAGACGTTTGACGTGCGAGAAGTGTCGCAAGAGAGGTCATCCGGCGGATCGCTGCCTGTTTGTGTGCCGTGGATGTGGTGAACTACACGAGATGGGCAAGTGTCCGATGGAGGAATTCTACAACCAGATCCGTCAATGGTTCAACCCGGTGAAGCACGCTGGCATGTTGCCCGCGATCGCCGAGAAGATGTTAAACTAGGACGCTCGCCGAGTTGGAATCCGGTACGAGCCGAGCGTTCTAGGTACTGCATCTATACATTCGTGAACAAGAACACGGTAGATCGAGTAAGTGGACGGACTGATCTACGCGGTAATACATGTCATCTGCATGCGAAATTTGCCGCCAAGGTCTTAAGTCTACATCGATCGGACGACCTCTGCCGTTCTGACGCCGAAGTGCCTTTGGATCTCCAGTCTGGAGAAACGCGGGGCTATTGAAAGCAACGCAGACCGGAAGAATGGTTCACGCCAGCTGATGGAGAAGTGACGACCGAGATCCCGGAGCATGATCGCGATCGAAGTCGGCCTCGCGTCAGCGAACACCGCAGATCTGGCGATGTGGTGCTCCTCCCTGGGGAGTCCAGAGGGTACTGGAAACATCATTCGCCAGGTAAGTGGTTCCGTCAGGCCAAGATCACTGGCAAGATCAACAATGAGAAGTCGATCTTACTCTTAGACACCGGCGCCGAGGTGTCCATCGTGGACACCGCCTTTGCTCGTAAGGTGGGGTGCTATGTCGACACGAGTCAGAGCCAGGAATGTGTGGTGATTGGCGAAAGCGTGTACATGACGGAAGGAAGGACCAGGGTCAAGGTTACGCTGGCGGGATCTCTGGTGCATTTCTTCGATATCTGGGTTGGCGATCTATCAGGACAAGAGGCGATCCTGGGTATGGACTTTATGGTTCCAGCCGGGATCCGCCTCGATCTTGCGGACGGCTCTATCTGTCTCCCCGACGAAGTCAATATCCAGCTTAGCAGACGGCGTCAGCTGTACAACGACAATGTCAGACACGTGTGTATAGATCAGGGAATGCAGATCGCGATCGGGGATTCGATCGAGCTTCCGCTACGAATGAAGATGACGGATCGAGAAAAGCTGTGGGTCACCCGTGGAGATCGCTGGGTGCCGACCGTGGTCCGAGGACCCGGCCGGATCCGATATCTCCAGGTTACCAACATCAGCGACAAAGACCTCGTCTTGCATCGGAATGAACGGATCGCGATGTGGCTGGCTGGAGATCGGATACCCCGAATCCCAGGATATGTGTCGATCGGATCTCGTCGATACATGGAATGGCAGAATCTAGCCTTTCAAGCCACGACAGATGACCGGCCGACGAACCAAGAGGCACCAACGGGACCTCCAGTACCTGCCGTCGAGCGACCGAATTATCCAACGCCCCGAGCCATTCTCCAGAGACGCAAGGTATCCCCGATCATCGATCAGTCGACGAGTCCACCCGATCCAACAAGCGAACCGGAGGCAATGAGCCCTGATCCGGGGGCGACCGTCGTTGATACGCTTAGATCAGGAGGCAGACCGTTGCAGGACGATGATCGCGTGACAGAGGAGTCGAGGTCGTCAGCTTCAACTGCTCTCGTTGGAGATCCACCAGACCCACGGTCGGATCCGGTTGAGTCGGTGTGTGAACCTTCCGGATTGATGGAAGGTATGGATCTTGGACACGAAGCTCGGACGAAGCGGAGGGAGGGACGTCGCAGACGGCGGGACTGGAGCGAAGGCACTTGAGGGGTAGAATGACGATTCGAAAGTGATTGAATTGTTGGAGCTTACACCCTACTGTTATAGACACGCGACCCTGCGTCCTATCACCTAGTGCATCTAATCAACCATCACTCACCGGTGTTCATCCAATCATCCTACTCGTCTAATCATCGGTGGCGTAAACAACTTACCGTAATCACCATAATCAACGTGGGTTCGGATTGGACCGGTTCGGGTTAACCGGTTAATGGGTACAACTGGTACACAGTACCCAAGACCAGCAACCCTCAATAGCATCTAATCAACTATCACTCACCGGTGTTCATCCAATCATCCTACTCGTCTAATCATCGGTGGCGTAAACAACTTACCGTAATCACCATAATCAACGTGGGTTCGGATTGGACCGGTTCGGGTTAACCGGTTAATGGGTACAACTGGTACACAGTACCCAAGACCAGCAACCCTCAATACGCCCCCTCAATGCGAAGTCCGACGAATGCCGAGAGCCACCGTCAGATCCGTGTGGCGTGGTCCCGCAAGCGCCTTCGTCATGATGTCCGCTAGCATCACAGAAGTCTCGCAGTACTGGAGCTTGACTTCGACGCGCTTGACTTCATCGCGGATGTGGTGGTACTTGATGTCGATGTGCTTGGCGCGACCGTGGTTCACTGGGTTCTTCGTCATCTTGATGCACGACTGGTTGTCTTCGCGGATCATGAGTTCGGGTCCAGTCTCATTAGCGGCCGCCAGAATCTCGCATAGCAGGCGATAAATCCACTTACCTTCTTGGATAGCCAGACTGAGCGCGATGTACTCCGCTTCATTGCTTCTTGCTTCCCCAGCTCACAGGCGCACTCATGAGCATGAACGTGTAGCCTGAAGTGGACTTGCGGTCGGCGAGGTCGCCGGCCCAGTCCGCGTCCGAGTAGCCACGAAAGTCGATCTTGTCGCCCGGCTTGAAGCAGATCCCATGCGTCTTGGTGCCTTGCAGGTAGCGAAAGATACGCTTGACCGCAACCCAGTGTTCCTCTTGGGGGTTCTCCATGAAGCGCGATACATAGCCAACGGCGTACGCGATGTCTGGGCGCGTGGCGGTCATCAGGTGCATCAGAGCACCAACAGCTTCGCGAAACGGAGCGTTCACCTTGGTCGCCGCGTCGCTTGGAACCAGTCGAGTGCTCATGTCCACCGGACTCACCACGGCCTTGCACTCGTCCATGGCGAAGCGCTTCAGGATGTCGTCCACGTATCGCCGCTGGCACATGGTCACGCTGCCGTCCGGGCCGTCCACCAACTCGATCCCAAGAACAAACGCGCACTTGCCGCTGTCGGTCATCTCGAAGCGCGTCTTCAGGTCGGTCTTCGTGCGTGCGATCAGCTCGGGCGAACTCCCGGTAATCAGTACGTCATCCACGTACACCAGTACAAGCACGCAGTGACCGTCCACCACCTTGATGTAGAGGCACGGATCGAAGGCCGACACTTGGAAGCCGATGGAGCACACGAACTCGTCGAAGGTCTCGTTCCACACTCGCGAAGCTTGCTTGAGACCGTAGATGGCCTTCACCAGTTCCAGGCAGTCGAAGTCACCATCCAGTTCGACGCCTTCCGGAACCACGCAGAAGACCACCTCCTTCATTATCCCGTACAGGAATGCTGTCACCACGTCGAGTTGGTCGAGGGGCCAGCCAAAATACTTAGCAATCGCGATCACCATGCGCAGCGTCACATACTTGACCACGAGCGAGAACGTCTCGGTGTAGTCAATGCCGTACTTCTGCTTGAAGCCCTTGGCCACGAGGCGCGCCTTGTACTTCTCGATCGAGCCGTCCGCTTTGCGCTTGATCTTGAACACCCACTTGGTATCGATGGCGCGTTGTCCGTTAGGCAACTTGGCAGCTCGAAACACACCACGCAGTCGCATCGACTTGAGCTCCGCGCGGATCGCTTTGCGCCAGTGCACTTGATCAGGACCGTTCACAGCCTCTTGGAACGTCGTCGGCTCCGATAGATCGGCTGCTGCTTCCACAGCGTTGGCACTGGCACGCCAAAACACTGGAGGCGTCGAGTCGTCGTCTTCATCTTGGTCCCCAGACTTTTCTTCTTCGTCGGGGTCGGCTCGGCGCGAGGAGGATACGTCCGGCACACTTGCTTCTTCTAAGCCAGCTCGGTGGCGAACGGGGCGCGATCTTCTGGCAATGTTGCCGTCGCCACTCGGTCGGTACTTGCGCTTCCCCGCCTGCTTGAAGCTCGTTTGGCGCGGTCCATCGTTGTCGTCCAGGTCCAGCGCGTCCAAGTCCAGCACAGCATCATCGACGTCTTCATCCGAAGTATGCGTCGAAAGTCCAAAGGTCGACTCATCGAAGTTGACATCGCGACTGATAACCACCTGCCCCGCCTCGATGTCATAAACTCGATACGCCTTGGACACTTCTTCGTAGCCGAGGAACAGCCCGGCGCGAGCCTTGGGGTCCCACTTGCGCCGTCTTTCCTTCGGCGTCAGGATGTACGTCTGGCATCCGAACACACGCATGTGCTTCACACTCGGCTTGGACTTGTAAACGATCTCGAACGGAGTCTTGTGTTCGATCTTGGGTGATGGCAGACGATTCTTCACGTAGATGGCTGTCATGGCCGCCTCAGCCCAGAAGCTCTTGTCCAGCTTGGCGTGATGCAGCATGCTGCGACCAATCGTGACGATGGTCCGGATGGCGCGTTCTGCCGTGCGGTTGGTCTGGTGCGCGTACGGAACCGTGGTTTGCTGCTCGATGCCTTCGACTTCGTAGAAGGCCTTGAGCGAGTTGGTCGCGAACTCACGGGCTCCGTCGTGCCGCACAAACTTGACCTTCTTGCCGAACTGCGTCTGCACCTTCGTGACGTACATCTTGATGCAGTCCTCGCTCTCCGACTTGGCACGCAGGCAGAACCCCTTCATGCATCCGCTGGCTTCGTCCACGATCAGCAGCAGATACTTGCTGCCACCCAGTGACTCTTCTTCCATGGGGCCGCACACGTCGAAGTGGAGCAGCTCGAACGTGTCGTAGTGGCGCTTGTCACGGTTGCTTGGGAACGGCTTCTGGACCATTTTCCCTTGCTGGCAGCCGCGACACACGCTTGGTCCACTCGACTTGGAAGGTGCCTTCGCGTCCTTGATCATGTTGTTGTCGACCATCTTGCGAAGCACCTCCACCGGAGCGTGACCCATACGCGCGTGTAAGTCGACCGTCTTCCCACTGGTCGCCGCATTCGCCGATCGCTGAGGCGTCTGGAGCCAGTAGAGTCCATCCACGAGGTTTGCCGTCGCCACCACTTGCTTGGAGCCCTTGTGCGCAATCTGCATCTTGGTGCTGTCGAACACGACTTGGAACAGACCACTCTTGTTGATCTGTGGCACCGAAAGCAGATTCTTGCTCATGCTTGGGACGTACAGTGCGTTCTTGATCTCGATGTCGCGCTCGTCGCCGTTGGGCAGAAGCACTCGTTCCACGATGGTCCCCACACCCATGATGGCCGCCTTGCTGCCGTCGGCCACCGAAAGTTCGCCTTCATTCCGCTCAATCAAATGAGCGAACTTGGCCTTGTCGTTGCAGATGTGGTGCGTTGCGCCGCTGTCGACCGCCCACAACCCGGACACATTCTTGCCCGTCGAAATGCCACACTCCAGTGAGACCGCGAACGCCACTCGATCATAGCCGTAGTCGTAGTTGTAGCTGGCGTCGTCGTTCCTCCACTGGGCATTGTTGGCCCCGCGTCCACGGCCATTGCCATTGCCGCCGCGTCTTGGGCCCCGATTCTCGTCCTTCTGCTTGGTCCAGCACTTGTCAATCGTGTGCCCCAATTTCCCGCAGTACGTACACTGGCGAGACTCTCGGTCGGTGTTGAACGCCTTGGCCGCATTCTCCGTCTTCACCGTCGCCGTCTTCTCGCCTTGTCTCTTGATGTGCTCATTCGTCAGCACCTTCACGACGTCTTGCGATCGTAGTTCAGCGCTGCTCATCTCCAAGTTCAGCACGACGTTCTCGTAGCTCTTGGGGAGGCTGCGCAACAGGCAGATCGCCACGTCCTCATCCTCCATCTTGGCGCCGATGCTGCTGAGCTTGGCGCTGATGTTGAGGACCTCGTTGCAATGATGCAAGACGTTGCCGCCTTCCGACATCTCCATGCTGAAGAGTTGGCGCTTCAGGTAGATGCGTCCAGCCTTCTGCGAACCACCGTACAGCGTCTTCAGGCGCGTCCACGCAACCCACGCTTCCTCGCAGTCGTCGACCACATGGTGGTAGTCCGCGTCCATGTGGAGCAACATCAGTCCGAACGCGATGTTGCTCGACTTGACGTAGTCGTCCTTGGCCCGCGAGTCCGTGAAGCTCGGCGTCGTCTCGCGGTTCACGACATGCCACGTCGACTTGGTCAGGAACACGCCACGCATGTAGCGGTTCCACGTCGCGTAGTTGTCCCCGTTGAACTTGTCAATGGAGACCTTGGTCGAGGCGTCTTGGGCAGAGGACATGGTGTTTGGGCTCATAACCTGATGGAAGGTATGGATCTTGGACACGAAGCTCGGACGAAGCGGAGGGAGGGACGTCGCAGACGGCGGGACCGGAGCGAAGGCACTTGAGGGGTAGAATGAAGATTCGAAAGGTGATTGAATTGTTGGAGCTTACACCCTACTGTTATAGACACGCGACCCTGCGTCCTATCACCTAGTGCATCTAATCAACCATCACTCACCGGTGTTCATCCAATCATCCTACTCGTCTAATCATCGGTGGCGTAAACAACTTACCGTAATCACCATAATCAACGTGGGTTCGGATTGGACCGGTTCGGGTTAACCGGTTAATGGGTACAACTGGTACACAGTACCCAAGACCAGCAACCCTCAATACAGACGATCGCCGAATCTTACGAAGAGTGTGTGTTCCGGCGATTTGGTGCTAGCGAGGTGATCAGGCACGATCGAGAGCCGGGATTTATGGCTGACTTCTTCCGCGCCTTTAACAAGATCCTGGGTATGCGCCTGC